TAGCCCAGGCTGGCCTCGAACTCACAGAGATCCGCCTGGCTCTGCCTCCCGAGTGCTGGGATTAAAGGCGTGCGCCACCACCGCCCGGCTAGTGCTTGCTTTCTAGAATAACACTGGCTCACCTCAGGTAAAAGGAAGTTGAACTCAGATACCACAGCTGCCGTCATCAGAGACCACGTGGAAAGGCAGTTATGGGCTCAGTCCTGATACAGCAGCAGCTCTGAGCAAGCCTTGGCAGTTCACCTTGTCAGGTTCTGCCCACAGGCATGTTGTGTGGGAGCACGGAGGTCTTTTCCTGGACCACTGTATCTCTAAACACATGCCTGTATTAGAATTCTTTCAGCCACTCTGCATGTGTCCCTATGCACTGCTGTTTACTGAAGACAAGAAAAAGAGATCCAGGGTTCCAGAAGAATGCAGCTTGAGCCAACCTCGGAGATCTCTCCAGGGTTTGCTGTATGCGGGAGCTCCCCACCTAGCCCTGTAGCATCCTCTGTTCCTCTTCCGGGTGTAGGTCTTTCCTCCAGCCCCTGTCCCACATTTAGTCTCTACTCCGTGGGACCATTTCTTGCGTGTTCATCCATATGTCCAATAATCTTCTACATCAAAAAATTAAAAATAGACCTAGTATATGGTACATCTCCCCAACTCCTGGGCATCTGTCCAAAGGAAATGAAATCAGTATGTGGAAGAGACTTATGCACTGAAATGCGCACTGTGGCACTGTCAGCAGCTAAGACATGGAACTAACCTAAATGTCCACGAAGGAGCAAATGTATCTTTAAAATGTGGTATACACACAGATCAAATACTACATAAGCTTAAAAACAGTTTCATTTGTTATCATGTGGATGAACCTAGAGCACATTTCAGTATCCCTTGACATCCACAGGTGATTGGTTCCATGCCCCCCTCCCCAAGGCTGATACCAAAATCTATGGGTGCCCAGGATCCTTATATACAAAGCCATAGTACCTGCTTATAACCTATAAATGTCTTCAGAGTAAATTATGCCAACCTAACTCGTAGTACATAATGCAACATAAGTGTAGGGTAGTTGTGCTATGTTGATTAAGAATCATTATCGCCGGGCGGTGGTGGCGCACGCCTTTAATCCCAGCACTCGGGAGGCAGAGCCAGGCGGATCGCTGTGAGTTCGAGGCCAGCCTGGGCTACCAAGTGAGCTCCAGGAAAGGCGCAAAACTACACAGAGAAACCCTGTCTCGAAAAAACAAAAAAAAAAAAAAAAAAAAAAAAAAAAAGAATCATTATCAAAAGCTCCAAGCATGTTCAGTAGAGACGACTCAAGAGAGGGAAGCTGGAGAGTCAGGAAAGGTCACCTGGAGAACCAGCAGGGGTCAGCTGGGAAGTCATCCAAGCTTCTCTAGCAGGCTAATGGCTGAGTCCAAGGACCACAGAGGCTGCAGGTTTCCATACTGTTCCTCAAACTATGCTCTGGGGTTCATAAGTGCCAGGCCAGTTGGACTCGGGCTGTGTAGACAGCTCTTCTTATCACCCAAAACCATTGTGTCCACACGCCCACACCTCTTCCCCAAGCTGCATGCTCACAGCACCTGCTTGATAGTCCCACCTGCTAAATAAAGGCAGCCCAGCCTCACCAGTGTCAAGATCACACGAAGTTTTCCTCACCCTGTAAACAGATCCAACACACACTGGTGATCCAACTCAGACAAAATATGCCTGTTTTGAGTATGCGTGAATTGCTATGACAAAAATACACACACACACACACAGAAGTGAGATAATTGGATCAATTAAGTTAAAATGCAACCTACAGAATGGGGAATAGTATTTTCTACTCATACATTTGATCAGAGATTAATATCCAAAATAGCAAAGCTCTACGATTCAATAACAACTCAAATTTTAAATAGGCAAAGGACCCAAATAGGAATTTCTGTAAAGACACATGATCGTTGATATCACTACCATCACTGAGCAATCAGACAACAGTGAGGAATC